TTCTAATCCCTTGTCCTCTCCTCCCTGTGGTACCCTCCTTACCACAGGATGAGACTCTGCCTGCCTGGTCACAACAGTGGCGGATTGATAAGGTCACCAGGTTAAAGCCCAAGGCTCGAGCCGGTGCTTAACGTACAGTGTCAATTTATACAGTCATTCTTTCTCTCTTCTGCTCCCTTAATTAGTATTTAAATATTCCAAGTGAAGTGGAATAGGTCGAACAGGAGCCATTAATGACCTGAATCCAGAATACTCTATAGCCTATTTATTGGAGTGTTCATCTGGGGAGTGGAATAGACAAGTCAAAATCTACCAGCTCTTTCATTTAGAGCAGACTGCACTGAGGCTTCTCACATCCCAACTGAATTGCCCTAGCAACAATATTATTATTTAAAAGGGAACAACCTCTTTTTTTCAGTAGCATGACTAGCCCTCTGCTTTTAATATGCTCAGCCTTAAAAAGGCACTGCACATTAAATATTTTACTTGATTTTTTTTTTTTTTTGGTGTGCTTGGCAGAACAAGGACTGTTATACATAAAATAACTATGAAATAACATAGATACAGAAAATTGCTATTTTACATTTGAATGAGTCTGAATGGAGTGGGGATGTTTTTTCGTTTCAGTTTGGGTTTTTTGTTTTGTTTTGTTTTTCTTCTGGGGTACTGGAAGGTATAGCAGCTGAACTGTAAAATCAAGTGCCCATCCTTAACCGTGGACTCCTATGCTTATTATGCCTTAAGGAGAGCTTAGCTCACAAATATAAAGGGTATTGTCTCTAAGCTGCCAGGACTACAAGCTCACTCTGGACTCTGAAAGTCGCACGGTGTTCTCCTCAAAGTTGTCACCAATTGTCAAGGTTTATTTATACTTACAAGACCTTATGGGTCTTCAGATTGTATCTTAAGTGACAATTCTGAAACCAGAGGAATAGCAAGAATCTCAGAGTTTTAGCTGTTTGGAATTTAGCAAATCAATCTGTTGATGTAAAGGTGACATTTGTGACCTGATGGGGTCTGTGAACTTCTGTGTGCATGAAAAATTGTGATGTGGAGTCAGAGGTATATATCCCCGGAATAATCTTTTTATAGAAATGTATATATAACTTTCTAAAGTTCCCATCCTCATTGAAAATCAATAGCAATCACAACCCAAAGTGCCAGGAGGCTCTAGCAGACATGTGGTGGTGGATTAAAATTGGATGGCTGAAATTGTAGCAGCCTTCAACTGCACCCTCCGCTCCTGTGACAGATGTTGCCTCCCCCAAAGCAGGGACAACTGATCTGCTCATGAATCTCCTGATTCACTGCACTGCAGACTTCATCTAAAGTAAACCGACCTGGATTCTGGTGGGCTGTAATACAGACAGTGAAATTTGCCTTGGGACAGAAAATGTATATTATACAGCGGGTGGCAAGGATGTCTGGAGAAGTTCAGGGATCTGATTTTAACCTGTTGCTGAATGATCCCTGTCAGTTGTAAAAGTAAAACTCAATAGGCTCCATCAGGTGATTTCAAAGCCACAAAAATGCCTGTCTTTCTCATCCCCCCACTGGGCACCTGAAGGCCCACTGACCTCTTGGGCAGGAGCTCCGCTTAACTTTGGCACTTTTCTGAGAAAAAGGAGAATTGCTGCTGGCTGGTCTGACGGAACATTGCCCATGTGTAGGTCCCCTCTTTCTCTACTGGTCTAGCAGTGTAAATGGCATCACTGCAGGTTTGGGGAGGAGGTTAGAACCAGTAGGAGATGGACAAAAACGCACACAACACCTCAGCACGGCAAAGCAAGGAACAGGCAGAGAAAAGCATCAGGGTAGCACCATGGGTACTGCAATAAGAGAGTAGTTACAGGAGAGAGGGCAATCACCTTGATGTTATTGCCTCTTCTTTTTGGAGTCATGAAATTCCGATGGTATCGATATACAATCCACCCTACCTGAGAATATGTAGCAGCAAACAATGTCTTTCTCAGGAGTCCTCAGATAAACTCCTCCAGCCAGTTTTGTTTATATTAGTATCTAGGGACATAAACATCTATTTTCTGTGTTCAGTGGTTAGGACACCCTGTCTGGATTCTTCCAGGCAGTTCAGAAGTCACTGTCCTGTAGATGATGCCTGCCACTCCTGTGAGGATATCTTTGATATCATAAAACATCTGTAACAACACCAGAGACCTTTCTTAGATACCTGAATCATACTGTAAGCACCCTCATCAGGAAAATCTAGCAGTATAACAGCATTTTTCTTAGCTTGACTTCCAGTCAGATTTGAGTCAATAGCTGTTCACTCCCACTTCAATGTGTGAATGTAAAAGTGGTGATTTTATTGTATAACATCCTGAGTTTTTAAGGGGAAATCTGATGTGGCTACATCAGTAGCCAAAAGCATGCAATAGATAACCTTCTAGCAAACTTGAACTTCATCTCTGCAGCATTGCTCAGATTGATAAATTGTGGGAAACTATTTCTTTCACCAAAGGCGGCACATAGCAGTCTGAATTTGAAAAGTTATGTATAGTAAATAGGAAGAAACTATTTTCATATAGCAACAGACCTAGAGGAATGATCCTTTGAATGGTAATTATACGTATAAACCTATATCTATATACACACATAGAGTTTTAATTGCTTGTATTATAACTGTGCAAATATCTGTCATTAGTATGTCCTTGGAGATATGCTGTGGTACTAATCAGATTTGTCAAGATGAGACAGTACCTTTCCATTCTCTCTTACACATCATAAACTCTGACTGATATCCCCAAGGGGAAAAAATGCATTATGTGTCATTTATGACCTGTTGCATGCACCAATTACTTGCATTTTGTATGCAGTAGGATAACAAAATGCTATTGATTTTGAATTTGACTTTAGGAAGCTGATGTTTATTGCTAGCTGTCACTAGGCAAATTTTTCTTCCTACTGTGAAATGTTTGATCTAAAATTTATGTTTGGAGAAAGGGAAGCAGTGATGGCTTTATAATATTTTTAAAAAAAAGTGTATAAATCCTATCCTAGTAGATAGACATTATTCATAAGCAGAATAAACATTCTATAAATAAGACTAAATTTCAAATAAGCAACAAAAAACATGTAATATGCCAATCTTGTTCTGCTTACACAACACTGCTGTGTAGCAGAACAGCTTTCCGGGGCTTGAAGCGAGGTACTGATCAGTGTCGGGATGCTTGTGCAGAACCAAGCTTAAAAGGTAGAGCTAAGGGAAGTACACGCAAATGCAATGCACTACATAATAAACAGACGAAATGTAGAATAGTAGAACACTCTACCGATATGACAGATTAAGAGTTAGGGAACCTCTAATACCAAAATTGTCCTTCCCAGTTCTACAGATATATGTGAGATCCATAAAGGTCATTTCAGTATCACTTTAGAGTAATGTTCTCACTTTCTACAGAAAAAGGAACAAAACCATTATTCATTACTAGAAGGGTTGGAAGTCTAGTTATACCATCTCTTTTTTGGGGGGGATAAACATATGTGCCTATGGGTAATATCAAGGATCTAATCCTTTCTTCACTTATTTCTTTAAGAATATCAATATAGTGATTCTCAAATAGAGGCTACATACATATTGTGATGGCAAATATCTGAAAGTCTTCAACAGCCTTGTACCTTAGCTCTAGTGATAGTTTCCAAATGCATATTTACCATTTTCTATGTGAAAAGTGAAACTAGATCTGTTTATCTTTGTATAGAGCAGCTCTGCCACTTTCTTTGCCTCTGTCATCCTAGAAAATTATCAGCTTTATAGATGGTATCAGTTGTGACAGAAGATAGGTGATCTCAGGGTGAGAAGCAAAGGTATGAGCAAACCAGGCATCACCTGATTCCTTGAAATTTCAGACCTCTGTGTGGGCAAGGGTCCCTGAAATCACTGACGTCAATTTAGGAGAGTTGGTATCATCAACCAGACCAGGAACATATGTAACATGTCTTTGAATATTTTAACAGTAGCATACAAGCAAATATTGTAAACTAAGCTAAGTGGAGATACTGTGCTCTTCTACTGGTTTTGACTGTGGAGTTATGAATATTTTGACTACTGTTATTGTATATACTGCAAAACAAATATCAACCAAGATTGTTTAGGTTATCACTTTCTTTTGCAAAGAAGAGTAATTTGAGAACTTTCCAATGTGGTCAGGTTTCAGTTACCATAGTTTTGGTTTGTGTCCAGAACTAACATTTCTTAATACCCCAGGAAGAAGTAGGTTAAGTCACTACTGTTAACTGTCCATTAAACAGTTAATGTGTGTCTACTGTTTACTTAGCTAATGTACATACTCACCTTTGTACCAGTTTTCTAGTACCAGACCTATGCTTTCTGGAATTAAGTCTGCTCTGGCACTGTAACTTGTTTTTTAGGAGATTATTTCATTAAGTGAAAAAATGCCACAAAGAAAGGTATTTAAAAATCAGCTACAAGCCTCTTCGCAACTTGTAAGGGTACTGGACATGTAAATCAATTGTGTTTCTGTTAGATGAAATGGAGTATATACGTTCCTATTGCCATTGATAGGTGTCCTTGACAGCAGAATTCCAGCCAAACCTCGAGTGGCATAGACACATTAGCTCCATTACAGTCGATGGAAGTACACTTAATCACATCACCTGAGAATCTGGCCTACAGCCTGTAACAAGACTGTCCTTTGGAGAGTAATAATATTTTATGCTTTCATCAATCAGTCTCCTAGGTCTGTAGCTATTCATGGCAGACTAAAAAATGTCATATTATAATCAAAAAGGCTGGTCGTGGCTATTTCACCATGTTTGCTCCCAAATTAACTTTACTGAAAGTGGCCCCAGTTCAGGAAAAAATCCTTCCAGAAAGCACAAGAGCCTGTCTTTAGTAAGACAATATTTATATTTATTTTAAATATTCTGATTACAGAGCAATTTTGAAACGACACTCATATTCTTGATTTTTAAGCTCCAAGTGTTACATTCTGTTTCCTCTGGTTTCCCTATTTGCCTAGGACGTGTGTCTACAACCACGACAATAATAAATGGTAAGAACGGATCCGTTCCCTCCTCATCCATGAAAGTGGGCAAGAAATCGGTTACAGAAGACCTCGTGACAACGTTCAGCTCACCAGCAGCATGGCTTCTTGTTGTTGCTCTGATTGTTACCTGGTCAGCAGTAGCTATTGTAATGTTTGACTTGGTGGATTACAAAGCCTTTGCAGGTAAAATTCAGCATATTCTGTTTGACGTCTTGTATATTAAAATTTAAAAATTTATTAGGGAGTGTGTATTGTGTAAATATGCATGTCTCTCACCTTCTTGGAGGCAGCACAGTGTCTCTGCTGAGTTTACCAAGAGAGGAGATATTGTGAGAAATGTCAGAACATATTAGTTTACACTTCATACATCTTTATAATTTAAATCTCTCCATTTTGCAGCCCATCCTCATCCTGGAAAATGTGTATGTTGACAGTAATATAATATGTATATGAGCATGTATGGTCAGATTTCTGTTTTGCAATTTCTATATAAAATTATTTCAAGAAAATAAAATTAATTATTAATGCACATTTTCTGAAATATATTTTAAAGTCTTTCATAGTTGCCTTGAGTATTCTGACACCTGCTTACATAGTTCAATGGCAAGAAAAATGCAAAAGATCATTTCTAAGCATGCTAACCCTAAAATCATCTTCAAAACCCATAAGCACAGAGGACCAGATTCTTAATATTAGCTAAGTCACACCCTTGTCTTCAAGAAGGCAATAATTCCAGCCTAGTTTAAGACTTGGCAAACTGACTGAACAACATCAAGTTTTGGGGAACATATTGGTTACTGAGGGCAAAGATAAAAATGAAGTGGGTGGTACAAGGAGTGTGATTGTGGCTGAGGAACAGGAAGAAAGGAATGGGGAATAGAAATTACCTCGCCGCTACTTGATTTTTATGCCTTGTAACTGGCAATGATATAAAATGAAAAATAAGATAAACTGACTACTTATGTTTGTAAAGGGTGCACTAAAACTTTTGTGAGGTAAACAGCCTGTAATGACTGGGGAACATGTATGTGAAACAGAAAACAAATTATTAGGGTCCTTTTCTTTCTTAAATAAGAACTCCAGCTCTAAAGTTATCACATCTGTCCCATTAATTAACTAGGAATTGAAATTCAGACTTCAGCCTTTTAATTCAAAACAAATTGAGTCGATGTTTCAAAGTTAATTTCCTTGACTTTATTAGTTTACTGATAAATCCATAGATTTTTGTCCTGCTATATATCAATATTGACCTCAAGATTTACTTAAAAAGCTTTTGAGACATAGATCTTGAAAGAAACCAATCAGTCCTGGATCAATGGATGACTCAGAAGCTTGAAATGTGGAGAAAATATATTACAAACCTCTCTTAAATTTGCTGCTTCTCACCTGTCTTTGTTTTCAGAAGGAAATCACTTGAATCCCAGCAAAACATCAAGTTACATTTGATCGATCCTTCCAAAACAGGCATCAGATTTTAGTTTGGACACCACACGCTTAGTGCTGTAACATAGATATAAACCAAGAGAGGGAAACCACCATATTCTGCTTTTAATTTTCCATATTAACTATCAATCAGTCAGTCAAGTTCCTCATATGTTTTCAATGAGCAGCCAAGAACCAGGGCATAACTCGGACTAAACTCTTAAACAAAGCAATTCCTGAACGGGCTGTCAGCTCATGCGTGCTCGATATGCTTACTAGTCAGGGTAATGCTAAGCAATGAGAATCTGTATTCATACCGGAGACTGAAGGAAACTTTCCAAGCAGATGGAAATCTGATGTTCATGTTGTATTGGTTAAATGAGCTTAAATCCCCCAAGTGTTGATGGAAACTGACATTTTCAGACCAGGCTGTAAAAATAAAATCATGTCAAATTTAATCTGCAGGGTGCATTCATATTTTGTGGAGATCTTTGAGAGAGGATACTTCAGTATTTTGAGATCATGAGTTCGTTTCATTTCCTTCCCGAAGATATTTCTGTTCCTAAGTGATTAATTAAGGCAGCATTTAAATTGGGTCTCAGTGGTCAAATGTTAAGAGAAGGAAGTGCTGTGCTCCTTCAGACCAAGATTTATTAGACTTTTTTCTGTATTTACATAAATATAACAATGGCTACATAGCTCTTATCGTGACCCTTGGGTTTCAACTCCTGAGTTCCTACTCAGTCTGATTTTTCCTGGTCAAACCCACAGATTTATAAACATTCCATGGAAATAGCTGAAGATTTCACATAGGACCACCTGGCTGACGTTATTGATACTAGAATGATTTTCACCTTCTGACAGTTTGGCCCTTTGCCTCCAGTGGAGGAAATGCTGTCTTTTCGTAGTGAAAGTAGAATTTGGAGCATATTTTTAAGTGACTCCTTTAAATCTAAAACCCAGTGATGTTTTCTCTTGGGTTTGACACTGTTCTTTGAACAAGACCTGCATAGAAAACGGGAATAGTTATTTGCAGGACTGTAAGTTTATTTTTGCAAGCATGATTAAAATTAATTTCCTAGTTTTCAAATGTAAATGAAAGATGCCAAAGAAACTGTGTTCAGCTGTATATTTTTTAATCTGTAAAACACAGAATATTCAGTGTATTTTTCCTTAAATAACACTTGCCTTTCATAAGTCAGTGCATTCAATTTCTTTCCCATTTCTTTACCTGAAGTTCCATGAAGTTCAAGTTTAGAAAGTATGCACAGCATATGAATGAGGCCAGCTGAGTGAGCTGAACTTGATTAGTCTAGAGAAGAGGAAACTGCGGGCTGACCTAGGAGCAGCCTGCAGCTTTTTGAAGGACAGTTACAAAGATGACAAAGGACTCTGACCTACGGGCTCCCACCAGAGACTTCCCCGACGTTTCTGTGCCAGAAACGACCGTCCCCATCGCAGCGCCACTGGCAGTGACGGTACGGCACAGGACCGACTGCGGCAGAAAAGAGGAGCGGGTTGACATAGGAAAGCAGGCTGGAAACCGTGGCTGAGGAATGGACACGGATTTTGTCCTCCTGATTACTCTACAGAGCTGCTAGCCTCTGGCTAATGCAGGAAGTGGAATGTCCTAAATTATGAGTTATCTAGATTATACAGAGATTCATGGAGTTCAGTAGAAAGACAACACATCAGCAGAGTTGGAAGTATTTTAGACTTGAACTCAGGCATTGTTCTCTTATTTCAACAATTAACAATTTTGCTCTCATTATTTTAAAGGCAAATAACTCCAAAAAGACATAAAGTATTGGTATATGTATTTTAGCTCCTATGCATTCTTTCAATTTATCAGAGTAAACTTCACACTGCCTCTATGATTAGAGTGCCACCCCATAGATTTTGCTTCTTGATTACTACAGCTTCATGTTCTTTTAGAAGTAAACTGTCAAGTTTGGGAATTTTGACAATTTGTATGAGATGAAATTTGTCCCAGAAGTACCTATATGAAAATGAGGTGTTTGGTTTCATCCTAAAACAGATGTGGTAAATTACTTTTGGGTGGGCCCTCTTTATTCAGTACTTGAAAAGGAGCCTTTAGAACTGAGGGAGGCTGAAGGAGGATAACGCTTAGGTTGTAGGCAGCTGAAGTTAGATTACATGAATTCAAGCTCCACTCAAAGAAAGATTTAAGATATATTGTGTTATTTTACACATCCAGAACATGATTACTGTAAATTCTATAGTACTCTGTAGTATTCAGGTGGTGCCGATTGTGATATAAAAAGTTGCAGGAGGACCCTGTATTATGGGTTGCACGTGTAAAGCTGTGCCTCCCTGGTGGTTACGTGTAGTTTGTTCGGAGGGAAGAACAGAGACGGGATCTGCAAGTCAGCTTTGGCAGTGGATTTTGAGGAAAGCATGAGACAAGAATTAGATCAGCGCTGAAAGATTCACCCCTGTTCTATCTACCCAGAAGAAGGAAATTAAATTTTGCAGTGTTTCGCTTTAGTGTGTTATGCTCATTCCTTTGAGGAAAGAAATGAAAGCTTGCATTCCTATCATGTTGTGTTGTACAACTATAAACATGACTGAAATATTTCTAACATGGCATGGAGGTGACATGCATTACAAAAGCCTGAGATAAGAAAGTACAAATCTCATGCAGTACATAGCATGTATGGATATGCAGTAAGTAGCACACTGCGTTGGAAGACCTCTTGTACATTCTCAGTATTTTCAGAAATGCAGAAAAAGATTCGTTGTGGTTTGATGTGTGCTTTGCAACAGTTTGTTATTACTACCATCCTTTCTGTTAGAAAATACACCTTGTTAATTGGCTTCATAATTCATGAATGTATTTCACGCATTTCTTGTACACATAACTGGATTATATATTTTAATTGGTAAATGTAACTAAATAATTTAAGATTATTTTAGTCCTAAAGATTGATTGCCCAGGAATCCACGTTTACTAGTGGGTTAATAAAGTGTTCAGAATTCCCTGCCATCTCTGTGACCAATTACAGCTAATTAACACCACCCTAATTTCAGATCCAGAGTGTTCAATATTCAGAGTAAATTGATAGTGATTTAGCCAGTCACCTAAAGGCCAGAGTAAATCAAACCTAATGAAACCTCACCAAATCTATGAAATCCAAAACTATCCGAAAAATAATCTAAGTGAAAATATAGAACAAACACACAGCACGATGAGCTTGCCATTTTATCGTGACTGCTTCAATAAAAGAAAAAAGAGCAGGCTTTTTGTTGTGGATAATTCATTTTGCTCAACCATAGAGAGGCTTTTTAGAGACCTGCAGCAAAGGCAGACCTCTGTGGAGGTAATGCCTGTCAATGACAGGAATGGGGACTTAACAGGGCATGGAGGCACCAAGCTCCCAGCTCCACAAGAAGCAGCAGGGCTTCCAGTCAGATGTTTTCTTTAATGTTTGTTTGTTTTCTTTTTAAGTTAATGGGAAAACATCTGGCCAAATTTTTGTGGGGTTATACCTATTAACGTGTCAGTTAACATAACAGATAGACCTATTAACATGTCCAGTAGAGGAAAACAAACAAACAAACAAAAAATTAGGAACCATATATTCACACGAACATCTGTATTTTGGACAAAAAAAACACATGAAGGTAAAAAACAGGACTCCAAACAACTTGTCCTATAATTGACACATGGACATTTTTTTCCCCAGTCTCCTGCATGACAAACCTGTAAGGTGCAAAACCTGTTAGGTGCAGAATGTTTGTTTCATCATTAAGAGAAGTGGAAGTCAGCAAAATATAGCTATTCTACTGGGTTTCTTTTTTTTTTTTTTTTTTTTTAAGGCAATCATTATTAGGAATATATACCTCCATTTTTCTCGTGGAATGTCATCACACTGTAGTCATTGTGCTGAGCTCGTGTTCACGGGAAACTTTTAAGAATTGCAAAAAGAAGAGTGTACCTATATTTACTCTTGTGTTTTTATAACAGTATATCCTTCAGTATTAAAACTGATAATACCTTTGAACTTATTCAGGAAGAAAAAAGAACTTCTGGCTTAGTTTAAAGCACCAGCAAACTTAATGGAACAAAATTTTGTCTCTTGGTTCAAGAGGTGTTTCACAGGGTCACCAAGTGGAAATAACTGGTAAAAGCTTTTCCATACATGCAAAACCCTAGACAAATCTCCCACAGAACAAAGGAGCAGGATGTAAACAAAAAAGTGTTGGTCCTCGCTGTGCTTACCTTGGAACTTATCAAAATAGTGGTAGTCTTTTGAAATACGATTTTTACTGTCTTTACAGGTGTCAATCCAGAGCACGAGTAAACAGTTTACCCATTTCAAAGTTCTTCATGAAATTCTCAGTTGAATTATATGGGACTTCCACTAATGTACCCAAAACCTACAAAACACCTTTTTTTCACTGTCTTCCACAATGATAAAAACAATTAAAGGGATTTAAACCTAATTCCAGTTTAAAGAAGGGCTGCCTAGATGACATCTTCTTTCCCATGTTTCACTCTGCAGCAAATCTCACAGCTGAGTTATAAACCCCTAGAAAATGAGTTTATACTGGAAAGAATGACAGTCTATGAAGTACTGCAGTGCTGCGAGTACTCTGTTCATCCCAAATGGTCTAGCATATACATGATGATAAATTGTGAGACATCAAGCCTCATGAGGTCATGAAGTTGAAAATATGAAATTTCAGAAACGGACTCGAATAGGGAAGGATCTAAGAAGAGAAATAAGTCTTGCATGCTTAAATGCACTTCATGGGATACAAAACACAAATCAAATTTCCAGCCCATAATGGCATCTGTGAAATTTCTAATTTTAAACAAACAAACAAAACCAGTAATTCATTTCAGCAACAATTGCAGTAATGTAATTGTTTGGTTATTTGCTGTTGAAGAAATTGAAATAATTCAACTAGGATCAACTATATGTAATGTATTCTTTTCAGCAATAGACTATATTTTTTTGCAACTTGTGAAAATACCTGTGCCTACATTTAACCGTGTTTTTACATTGCTCTGATTCGTACTGTATTATCTCACACCTACAGCGTATTGTTTTTCTTCTTAATGAACTCCAATTTCTGCTTCATAACAGCAGCCCCACAGAGATTAAATAGCTCCTCGCTCCCCTCCTTGACTGCTTCCTTTAGCCAAGTGCCAGCTGAGGATGTTCGTTATCGCTAACCGTGTCTCTTCCTTTTTTTTTTTCGTTGGCCTTTCTGGGGTTCATCCTGTTGCCATCCGCTCTAGCCTCCTATTCCCAACATTGCGATGATCCCTGTTTACCACCCGGTAAAGACGTTCTGCCTGCAGTGTTCCGAATCCGCGCGGGCGCCTGGTCTGCGCTAACACAGCATGGGCGCCAGCAGAGCGCCAGGACGCGGCAGCACCGCTTCCCCCCTAACCCCAACGCTGGCCCAGGGCCGCAAAATTCATTGCAATAGCCTCCTCCTGATTTTATTTTTTTTTTTCACATCGTGCTTGAAATAGATCCGTCAGCTGAGAGACGCCCTCAGTCAGGAGATTCCCAGGAAATGGTGGCGAGCTGAGGGCTACTCACTTTACCCTTGTAAATGGCCTTTAAAAACGCCATCGTGCAATTATTTAACACCACTGCCTTTTTCATCGGAAGTTAAGATCTGTGTTCTTAGAGAATTGACTCCTTAGAATGAGAAAAAAATACAGCCTCAAATTATTTTAGATAAAATGTCTGGCTCTTTCACAAGACACCACCTAATTAGGGTCTGGTCCATCAAATCAGAAGCCTTTCAGCTGATATCAAATCAATTCACATAAATTCCACGTGAAGCCCATCCTAAACCTACATTGCTGTCCCTGTGTATGGCTATAGCAAAAGTACCTGAAACTGATACTTTGTGACACTTTGTGAATTTCTTTCTAAATATCACCAAGTAGATTCTAGTTATAACTACTTTGTTCCTATTTTGGGTAAAATGCTTTTGTCCACTTTCAGGTGAGGTTTTCTCTATGGACTTGACCTCAATATAATTAGCTAAGGCTGATATTAGAAAGAGGCAGAGAAGTTTAATACTACAGACTGTAGTCTTCATATTTACAATTTACGTACCTATAAAATGGAAATTACTGGGTAATGTTGAGTCTGAGTTTTCTTTGGCATTGTTTTTATACTTATAATTCAATATACTTATAATTCAAAATTAAATTATTTTTATACTATGATTCAATAATACCCACCAGAGTTTCTCCTGAAGCTTAATGCTGTAAGCATGACAAGAATGTCAGTCTATGAAATAAGGAAGATAAGACCTAAGGACACCTATGCTGATAAACTGGAATATTAACAATGGAAGACTTTATGTGTGTATTGAGTTTTCTATGTTAAATACTACTCTTCAGAAGACCACCGAGTAGGAACAAACTACTACTACTAATAAGAAACCTTAAAAATATATAAACTTTCAAATTAAAATACAGGTGTCTATATTTATAAAAGAATATTTTACTAAAGCTAGGATAATTTTTTTTATCACAAACTAGTGTTAGGCTTTTGTATTTTATCAAACATGACAGAAATTCTCTGTCTTCATCAGCTGTACCTTGTCAGTATCAATGAATTAGATTATATCTCATAGATCAATCTTTACACCAGATAATTACCATCATTTGTAATTTAATTGCATTCAATTCACTGGAGTCAAAATATGTAATTGATGAAAATCCAACAATTATTAAGTAATTCACTGCAATTCATTAAAAAAAAAAACCAACACTTTAGAATAGGTTACACTCTGAGTATATATTTAACTATTTGACAAGCAAAAAAGATTGATAGGAGACTACATTCCTGGCAGAGTTATTAAGACTGGAATAATGACTGAAGTGATTTGCACAGATAAATCAATTAGTCACTTTTTGTTGTGCACTTCACATGAATAAATGACACAGACCATGAAACATAACCAAATTTGCTTGAGGCAATACAACAAATCATACTATGTGACTAATCAATTCCTATTTCCAAAAACCACTGTTAAAGCTCTGTCAGCTTTAACTCTTCCAAATTTCAGCACTTGCCAGAAAGTTCTGGAATTAAAATTTTGAAGTTCCCCCGAAAAAAAAAAAAAAAAAAAAAAAGCAAGGCTGTGAATTATTCTCATAGCAGTGAAAGTGCCACCAAAAATAGATCTGAAAGGAAAAACATCTCTTATACTGTACCAGTAATAAAAGACCATGACAAAACAAAATGTTATAGCAGAGCACTGTTAGTGGTACCCGTGCTGTTTTGGAATGCAAGTAATTTATAGAAGTGAATGGTATATTGTACTGGAATGAATTATGAATATAAAGTTACAAATCTAAGTGCTTAGCCAAAGTGACAAGGATTTAAATACGAAACAGCACCACTAATAGGATCCATGTCATGTACCTCAGTCATATGAAAATAAGGTGTCATGTCCATGCCAATTTTTCAAGCTTCCTTTCCTTCCTAGTCAATGGAAAGGGATGGGCATCTTTGGAAATTAATTCATATAACCCTAAAAAAGATGTCAGAGGAAAGCGAGAGACTTGCCTTCTGAAGGTCACAATGTCTTTCTGCATTGGCTTTTGAGGGAGTCTAGAAACCATCAGGAGTTCAACACCTGCCTTTCAGATACTTTTGGCTAGATAGGATAATCTAAACTTAAACTGTGATTAAATGAAATTACATACTGTCAACAAAATTCTTCAATATTAATTGCATGTTTCATCCCTGAGCTTAACCTGCTGAGTAACCACTCACTTCCTTTCCCCTCCTTCCTCCTTCGACAGACCTTTAGTATTTTTCTACTACATTATCCAAGACGAACAATTGGCTCAGTCCCTGTTTAAAAGTTCAGCAAAACGTAGAACTTCACAGCCTGTCTCTACCTGAGAAATACTCTGTATTCATAAAGGCTCTTTACAGTTTAAATTCAAGAACCTGCCCCTGCAACTCCCAGCACAATAGATGATAGATGATATATCATATATTAATTATACTTTATAGTTATAGATCAGTTATAAATTATATATTACATACTATATAACCTGTGCTATCAAAAGAAGTATATTGTGAGCTTAGTTTGAAAATAATCTGTGTTCTAAGGTCTGCCAAGAAATGAAAAGTCAGGCAGAGAACAGCTAATCCCGTCTGAATGTGTTGAATCCAAGACTATTCCAAAAAAATTCATCATACTGTACCCTTGCTGGACATCTGTAATTGAAAAAAAAAAAATCTAAACTACATCACGATATCAAGCTCAAACTTTGTTATGCAAACCTGCATTCTCTCAGCTTCACTCTTGAAGCAAGAGTATGCAAATCCTCTGGAAATGGTTACCTTTCTTTGCATGTGTGTGAGGCAAATGGCATCTCGCTCTCTACTCGTTACCCCCTGAACTGCTTTATTTCCTTTCTTTCTCGTGTGTTCTGTTCTACTAAGGAAGAACCTGCCGCTGTCATACTTGTGGGGAGAGCTAAAAGCATGGATTTGATCAGTCGTAATTTTCACTTCAACCTTACATGGTGTGGTGTTCTTAAGCATTTTAGGACACACGATTACTGTTAGCACTACTTTTTCAAAATGTAGGAAACACTACAGAAGTTAAGGAGAATATCTATGCACAAGGAGACAACTTTCCAGGCCTGTGTCACCTGCATCAGACCGCAAGTGAAAGTCACAGTATCTGTTTGTATACAAAATTTAATTTTGCAAATACTACTGAAGTGTCCTCTACATAACCCCAAAATGATTCCTCTGAACTTTTTATGTTAAACAGGATTTACAACTTGGGCCTGTTAGTTTAGGCACGACTAGAGATTTTCGCCTCTGGACACTTACAATTTCTAATCCCTTTTCATAGTTCGCTGTGAAGATGTTATGAATTAAAGACCAGGACATGACGTTGAGGGCTCTGATTCATCAGCAAAGATGGCTTGCCTTGGGGTGGTTGGAATAATTTCCTCTGCTCTTGATCTTGCTCTTCTCTGAGCATTTCCCTTGCCTGCCCGGGGGGACAGCTCTGCTACCTGTGAAGCAGTTCTTGAACTGCTAGTTGATAGACTGGTATATTAAAATAAATTGACACCAATTCTTGTTTAGTTTACAGCTGTAGTCCCTGCGGCTGTAAAAGCCTATGGCTGTAAAAGCAGCTGAGCCATCCCTAAGCAACCAGTGGGTAAAGGGTAGGTGGATAGCCAGCATGGAAATCAAGGCAGCTCTCCGAAGTTAAACCATCCCTGCTTGTGAATCAAAACCTCAGTTTCGCTAAGACCTCTCTGGCCACGTCCGTTCTGTTGGTCCACCTGGACTCCTTAGCACCTCTAGTTTAGAAGAAAGTGCAAATGACATCAGGGGTTGGGTTGCAGATTTACTTTTTAATGGCATAAATAGAGGTATTAATTCTCCTGGTAAACACTTGAGAAGAGCATTTGCGGCAAATCAGTTGAAAAAATAAAATCTCTACATCTCAGTGGGTGAGGCCAATGAAAACAAATAAATGCCTTGTGCTAAGCAAAGTAAATATTCCATTATACTACTTAATCTTTCTGAATACAATAGTGCACGCAATAGTACACTAAATGAAGAAATGTGTATTTCTTTGTAGTTTTGTCATTTCATCGTGGCACACGATTAATTTATTTAATGTGCCTGATTGTTCAGTAGCATATATCTATCTAATACAATCTTCAAAAAAACATTAACTGAAATATTTCTTTGGTCTACATTATTAATAAGCAGATGCAAAATAATAGAAGATCAGCCTGGTCGTCTCTGTTTCAGATTAATTAATTAGAAATAAAAGGAATTATTTAGTGATACATTTATATTTCAAATAAAGTTGCTTGTATATTTCATTACAGCACTTTTAGAAAATAATTGTTCATACTGCTGCCATCAAAGAAGTTGCTTCAAGCCTGCACTTTGCCTGTTTTTGTAACCTGCAAGTCCATGTGAGACTACTTCTGATTACTGCTAAGATTTGGCTTGTGTGTCAGAACACTGCAACCAGAAGTAGTTCCGAAGAGACTTGTGTTTAACTTCCTACTAAAATATTTGCATACAGAAAGATAGTGGTAAACAGCGATATGGTTCCCATCTTGACACTGCTAAATTCAGTGTATATATTTCTATTGAAACTCCTAGGAACAAGACTAGGCCAACGACTCAAGTCATATTTGTGATCTACCTTCGATTGTCTACATTTGGGGGAAACCTTCACAAAGATAGGGCAATCGTTCAGTCTGCCATTTCAAGTGCAGTGGACAGTAACACAGACGGGATGAGAGTTGTTCCTCTTCCTAAGCAGTGTTTGGTACAGATTTCAAGAACACAAAAGTTTGCTGGACAGAAAGGTCAGAAGAAATACTCTGTCAGAGGCTGGAAAGTTCCTCTGAAATACTATGTCGGCATAATCAGGGCAGGGAGAAATCTGGTGAAACCATGGTTGGAAAAGCCGTTAAGGGAATACTTGTGTTACCCACTGGTGGTTGCTCTCCCTGGGTGGGGATGTGGTGGGGACCAGGGACGTCCCTTCCACCAGCGGTCCCAGGAAGGTGGAGCACATTAAACTGCACACCTTCCGTGGTTGCCACCTTACTTGCCTACAGGAGCAGTGAGACCAGAACTAGCCAAGTATGCGGAGGTGCACAAGTGTATGTGAAAGAAACTCTAAAAAAGTGGTGAGAGAAGAACCAGATACACAAGAGTAGGTGTTTGAAAGTAGCTGTGTCTGTGTCACAATTTGGATTTACATTCCCCTTCATCCTGGACTCAGGTTTATTTTGGCCCGAGTATACATAGCTTGCTTCTTCCCACCCTTTACACGTAGTCCGTGGCAATGATGGAACCGGTCTGTATGGTTAAGCCAGGGCTCAGCAATTTCCTCAGCCCAGACTGGTGTAAAGGGGGGGCTCAGGAGGAGATGACATGAGGAGTGGGACACAGACGGCAGTGAATCCTAAGCAGGCATCAAGAGGCAGAGGACCTGAGCCAGAGAAAAAAAACTGGGCTGTGAAAGGAAGAGATTATCTAAAAGGATGAATATGAGATAGAATCAAATCTATATTTATACTTTGCCCAGCCAAGCCTCAGAAGAAGAGCCAGAACTCGGAGTGCAGTATCAGACTAAATTACCCACTGGGTCCTTAATCACTCTGCCAACAGCAAGTACAGTAGGATACAGTTTATACCAGTCTTGCACAGGAAGGAGAGCTGTCCTCAAACCCTTGAATAATAAAAATTAACATTCACAATCTTTGTTTCTGTTAAAGGAGGTAGTATAATTAGTCCTGTATAAAATGAAGATTAACTTTAATCACTGAAGGAGGTTTTGTTTTGTTTTTTTTTTTCAAACTGCTTTTGTTTTAAACTCTGCACTCAGGAAGATCTGTTAACAAGCTCAGCACAGAACCACTGAGAATCATTCATGAGACATTGGAAGAATCCACTGATTGGCTTTATGGCTTTATTTCTTTACTGTCTGACATCGTATGGAGTGACGATGATGACAGTGATGAAGGTATTTGTAATGTAAAGACTTCTGTAACTGCTCTAACTGCTGTTTTACATGCATTATGTTGGCTTACTCAGCTTTTAACCTCACAGACAAGAAGGTCAAACAAAATGAAAAGTGAACGTTGTTGCTAATAAAGCATCTACTGGCTATTCTAATCAGTAAATTGGTCTCTTTGTTAGCTTTCATCTCATGTTTAATGTACCATTACAGAAAAGCTGTCAGAATTAAATATTACCGTTAGTACATCTTGAAGTAAAGAACACTAATTTATACAAGACTTCAAAGCTACAACCAAAATATGCGTCAGGATATTGCTTCAGAGAATGGCAATAGCTATTTTCTTTTAATCAGCAAGAATCTCAAGAACTCTGGTAAATATACAAGATAGACCAAGAAACTTAGAATTTTTTTATTTGATATATTGATGGTAGGGCAATATATTGAAACCAAAAAAAAGGAAAGAAAAAATAACATTTTGGCTGAACTAAGGGGATTTTGGATGGCATACTGCAAATGATTCAGTTTGCTAGAAATTATGGTTCTGCCATTATAATAACATTCTTCATCTGACATTATCTGATAAATGAAAGTAAATTGCCAGCCTTTCAAGTTTGGAAATAACTATCCTTCTGTTATAAAAAAAGTAGTTCCCTGGTATGAGCAGAGCAGTAGTGGATCATCATGTCACATCGTATTGGTCATTTTGACAAGCGATGAGTGTAGGAGTGACATCTTCATTTCATGGTAGTTTATTTTATATTCTATTTGGTTATACTAGAATATAATTAAAAAGCAACATGTACTGAAACTGACTTCTACCCATTTGTTCATACACTTGAGATATTATCAAGTTTCTACCTTTTAAACGTGTGCATGAGCTTTTTATATTAGCACCATATATGAATACTAATAGATAGGCTGCTACATGCAAGTCTGTGAACTGGGCATCCTATTCTGAGATATGAATTACAACTAACAGAAAGCCAGTCTCTCCTATGGCTGAGAAACAGAAAAGGTGTAATATGGAGAGCTTGCTAAAATTTGAACAGTGTTCATTTTTATCATTTCATAGCTCCCACAGCACCCACAAGCTTTCAAATACTTGAATGGATAAGTGTTAATGCAAGTAGGAAAGGTCATAAAATACCTGACATACAAAAATTCAAGATCTGAATGCTCACTAAGTGTTTGGAAACCTCAGTCCTACCAGCCTTTGGCCCAAGTGGAATTTCATCAATATCTACCAGGAGTGTGAAAAGGCAGTACGCAACTTTACTGCACTCTATCATAAAAAATAAATACATGGGAACTCCCTGCCCACCGTCGGCTGCGGTCAGTGCAGCTCAGGCTGCACACTCACCACAGTCATTCAGGCTAACTCCTTTAAATTCCATGTCCTACGTGGAGGCGGAATAACATACTGCAGCAATCAAGTGCTACAGTTCCACTGGAATTGAGTATTTTTTGCCTTGGATTTCACTGGAAGCATTGCTAGGTTTACAACCTTGTTAACCTGCATATACATTTTATCATTTGGAGCTAAAATGGGACTGCTGGGCCTTTCCTTAAAACATGGAAACGTGCATAAAATCAAGCAAATTGTAAATTGTAGTCACAAGTTGACATTCAGAAGCACAAACGCAGATTTGGATGTTTCCTTGGTTACTGCTGCACATTGAATTTATCTACCCTAGACCCAGGAAAACCTCTATGGCAAGAGAGATATGTTATGAAAAATCCCAAATCTCAGAATAGAGTGCTTGCCACTTAGCATATAAAGAATTTTTTTTTTTAATTAAAATGAGCCAACATGAGAAAAAACGTGATTTTTTTTTTTTTTTTGATGATGATATGTCTTCTCTGACATTTGTTCTTTTCTCTTGGTTTAGGTGAAGTGGAACCTTCTCTGAAAAAAGGTTGGTCAGTTGCTTTACTATAGAGGGCAAATATTTGCAGCCTTTTTAAGAATTAACTAGTATATCTGTGATATAGATTCTGTCATTAGTTACATGTCAGTCAACTAACCTTGTAAGCTGTGCTTTAACAAACTCATTAAATAAGAAACTCAAGTAGTAATACTTGCTGTACTGTTTGCTGCTCTGTGAGAATTCTTGACTGTTTTAATATTATCCAGAAAAATCTGAAAAATGTTCATAAAAAAACCCCAGAATTACAGAAATATTATCTGTACCCTTGCCTTGCATGTGGGACTCCTATTAGTGCCAATATGAGTTACGTCTATGTGTGGATAGAAATAATATTTAGAAATAATGATATAGAAAGGATATTTAGTGAGAAATAATGGCGAGGCGTTGTAAAAGCATTTTACCTTGTGCCAACGCAGAACTCTAAAATAAGGACTACTGAATCTTCTGAAAAAAATTACTTAGTTATCACTGACTTTTTAAAACAGGCAAGTGAAGCAAGTAGGATTTATAATATATATCTTTTCAGACATTAAAATTGTTATGCTGGAACATAAAACTTAAGTTCAACTTCTATTAAATCAAAATGAAAAAGTATTAAAAGGCTTGAGATATTGGTGATAGGATGTAAAGCTTTCCAAAACTAGGGTGTTTTTTTCTCCAAATTGAGCACAGCTTGATAATCAGAAGACGTGTAACCAGCCCTATGTGATCTGAATTTGGTATCCATCCAATTCTCAGTAGGTAAATGCCCATATGGAAGAACCTATCACCCCAGTTGGTGCTCAGATTACAATCCATTTTTTTTCTGAAGTTAATTAGAACTGTATCAGGCTTCTATTTAATGACACATTTTGTCAGTCTCAATAGGGCATCCAAGGAATTAATGGACTTGAAGACCAAGACCATTCATCTTTCTATGGATGATCCTTCATGTTAGGACTGAAAAAACCTTATAGAGAGTGTAGGAAAACATTCCACCTCTTTACTCCATCAGTAAGAATCGCAAAAGGTTCAGCATTGCCCTTTCTCTGCTCCCAAAGAGAGAAACACATTGTTAATTTTACAGTGGATGCAAAGAGTCTGAAGCTGTAGAGCATTGCTGGCAGGGATGCTGGGTACAGGGATGGAAGGTGTCTGCTCACTGTGGGCCAGTGTAGGTGACCAGGCTGGGAGTACTGTGGAGATACTTCACTACTGGGAAGGCTTGATCCATAAAAACATTATGGACAACACCATGCTCAGCATTGCAATGCCGCCTTCTTTGGGAATGGGTGATGAAGTCATGCCTTACACTTTGCATTGGGACACTAGGCTGTAAAAATAGAATTCAGAGAAGCCATGAAATAAGCTGGAAGCTGCTTAAATTAGTCAGGTGGAAGTGATGAGATGATTGTTCGGACCTAAAAGTCCTCCATCCAAGGAGCTGAGTATCTAACTGCCAGCTTGAAATGTTTTCCTTAGTATTCAAAGCTCACAACCCTGCTCTGGAGAGAAATGAAAGTCTTCTCTCTTTGGTGTGAAGGAGATGGACAAGGAGCTGGTGATTCCTCTGGAGCTGGTATCTCACAGGATAACTCAGCCACACAGATGTGAAAAGGCCCAAATTCAAACATGCTTCACCTGCCTGGGCAGTAAAACAGATTTTGAGCAGGCTTTTCCACTTCCTCCACTTTGAGGATGTGTGCTCAAGGTCTTTCCTTCCATCTTTCAGAGGATAAGGAGTGCCATCATTGTCTCCCTGCAAAAAAGCTGTTTCTTGACTAGGACTGATGAATAAAGTGGTCTGAGGTCCTTTCTGGGTATAGGCGTAAGCTTTCGCTTAGCAGCATCCTCAAATAACTTGTTATCTTCTCCAGATGACTGGAGGTCTCCATTTCATCCTGGCAGCCAGGATCTGACCTTGATTATACCTGATTTTGTCACCTCTCTTTCTGGGCTACAGAAATACAACATATGTGGCCTGAAGCCACCATGTCCCTTGGAAATGCCAGTGCAGAGCATGGCGATGTCCACTCAGTGACAGGCAGCTGGGAGCTCCTCAGAGCTGTCACTGTCCCTCTTTGCAGACTTCTCTGAAAACTGTGTAAACATCAAGGAGCTGAATTGCTGGGGTCTAAGCCTATATAGAAGTTTTCTGAGAGCTCTGTAATAAAGTCTAGTCAACTAGGCAGGTTTTCTGCTTAGGGACAGTGAAATTCAGTCCAAGGGCTAAAGCTCAGGAGCGCGGAAGGCAAAGCCCCTGGAGGTGAGGGCTCAGACCTCAGCACTCACGAGCATCGCAATCTGCTTCTCTGAGCACAAGGTGCAGATCTCTTCAAGTAGCTTTTCCTAACTAATGTGTGCTGGCATGTCCATGGTCCAGAAATAAGAGTTCCAGAAGAAAAGCTTTCTAAACAAAAACGAGACTTTGCAACCTTGATTTTTGCCATCTGACTGCAGTTAGGGCTGGACCCAAAGGAGGACGAGCTATACAAATTAATTTTGAGACTTTCTGGGTATCAAAATGTTAGTAGTTAGATCCACAAAATCGGAACCAAATTTTTAGGCTATGGGAGTATTCCCTGTTTTCATGTAAAGGACCATTTCTGCATCAAAGCCCCTTCCACTTGGCACAGCACTGTTATCTATAGCTTTGTGAACGATCTTTCTTCAGATGGCTCTTAAGCTTGTGGCATTTGAACAGCCTAAACAAAAAAATGACCCAGTGAGATGGTGCAGTACGCTACTGCTGTCTCCAGAAGATGAACAGTTTGACTTTTTGCACATATTTACAGGAAACCTCTCTCAAATTTCTCTCTGGAAATGTGCATTATGGTTGCCGTGCCTGATTTTTAAGTATTTGTATTGGATCTAACCCACAGTTTCTGTGGTATTCAGGAATAGGCAGAGAGTTTTTGAAAAATCTCCATACCTATTTTTGGTGTATGAACAAGCCTTCACTCTTTTGCTTTCTTGATTAGCAGATATTATGAATGCTAAAAAGTTAGCAGAAAATTTACTTTATAATGGAATATAGTAACTGAAAAAAATAAGAAGATTGCTGGTACTACAATACAATTATGGATTGGAAAAAATTCAAGGGGAGTAGTAAGGACACTATGTAGTGATGAAGGAAGAAGAGAAAAGTGGAATAATAATTACGAACCCAAAGAAAGCAAAGATCACCTTCGTAGAGATGTAAATTGAAAGTAAAGATAATAAAAGTACAAGTAATGACAATGGGCTTGCACATGCAACAGGACTAATATCAGTTTCAGAATTCTTTAGAAAGGATGAAAATGCCTCTTGAGTGCCTTTTTTATTGCAATTATTTTTGCCAGTCCAAGTCTTATCACTAATATTTATCTTTAATAATTGGAAAAGAGTGAACATTTGATATTGTCCGGAAAAAAAAATGTGTTCTTCAGCAGAGGTAGTGAAAGATTATTCTGTAGAGGACTTTGCAGTTTTTAACAATGCATATTCTCAACATGCTAAAACTACAGAACATTTTCACAAAAGATAGTAAGAAGCCTAATAACTGTTGCATGCTTAATATGTTTTTGGCTTCATTTCTTTCTAGAACAATGGTTATGACTGATAATCTTGTTCATTTTTTCAGGGTTAGTTTAACGTTTAGAGACAAATTCAATTATTTGACAGCTGTATGTTTTCTCCTATTTTGGTCCTTTTTACTAGAAGTTATTCTTATAGAAAAAGAGAGAAATATTTATTATTTTTTGGTGGATGTTACTAGCATTAGTTGTGAGTTTGGAAAGGAGCTGAGAAACCTGGTGCAAAAAATTGGAAATAATGATCTGTAAAATATAAGCAAGTGCAGACACTTCAGCATTCTCATCCATGGCTAAAAATGTCATTATTAAAACGTTCTGGAGCTTCATTCCAGTTTACATATGGGTAACGGAAAATTTAAAATCTGAACATGGATTCCTCATTTAGCGAACCAGGGTAGACCTGACAAGCTGTGCACAGTGAGTTTTGTATGTTAAGGTAGCATCTTCTTTTGCTTCAAAACAGCCGATGCATTCTGGCTTGGAAGCATGAATCTGGTATGTGGCCTTAGGAGTAAGTTGCTGGAAACCTTTGAAAAAGATTCCAAGGTCAGAATTATTTGGTTTTTTACTTTATACTTTGAAGCTGAGGAAATTGTTTTCATAAGATGTCCTTCCTTGATTTTATATTTGGGTTTAGATTAAATCCTCTCTCTGTCTTTCTCTTTCTCTTGCGCTTTCTCCCTCTCACACACACAGACACGCACACACATAACTCACTATGTAAGTAATTTTCATTTTAATAAGTACAATGAATTTAGAAAGCAGAGTATGAAATAAAGCACCCTCATGACACTGTTAACCATGTCTCTGCTTCCAAATAGGTTTTTATTGGCACAAGATTATTCTATACCAATAGTCAAAATAAACTTGATTTCCTTGAGGTAGAGGTGTATCTCTAAATTTCTGTGAGTTAGCCTATGTATGAGGCAGAAAGATGTATACAATAGTTATATGAAATTATCCTGTTCTCCTTACTTGGCTATAAAACTTTTTCTTAGAAAAATGTGGGTAAAGAAATCATAGATTAAAACAAGAAGCCACAAACGAGAGACATTTCTTTTAAAGGCTGCAAGAAATTTTGTTAATTACAAGTAAACTTTTTGGCAAAGCACCTTATCCTTCTGTCTTCAGCATTGGGCTGATTGTTAATATGCTGAAGACATAGACATCGTGCTCTTCCTAAAAGACGTGGCAACTTCTAAGGGTAGAGTCGGTTACACTGACTTACCTTCAGCAGCTCTGGCCAAGGTGGAGGTCCCCCAGACCCGACTCCAGACGCTCACTCCCATTAACCCCCCCTTCTACCCCAAGGTTAAGACTGTCAGAATTTACTCAGCACAAACTATTTGTTTGTTCAGATCTGGGAATTAATCTGCGCTAACAACGACAAACAAAATGCTCCCAAAAGGAAAGGTTCTCAGACCAAATCATTTC